CGTTACATCTAAATGATCTATACTCATAACGAGTTGTACAGCTAAGCAAATTAAAAAACGAATGACTGAATATCTGACTACGGGAGAGAAAGTTTCAAAGAAGTCTACTCCTAGTTTCTGTGAACAACCCTTAGCTACTAATCTAGCCTTACATTTTACAATATTTCCAATTTACAATTTTTTCTTTTTAAATACCCATTTACTTTTTATAGGTTTCTTACCTGGTGGCAATTCCACATAATCCCATACCTGGTTTTTCATCATTGATCCAAACTCTTCTTCCATTGCCTTTTTCATTGATCCCTCTCTGCACCAGATAGAGCCTCTTCGACAGTTTCTGGCTCGTCCATATTGCACAAGAACGCACGATGTCTGGAAACACCCTAGATTTCCTTTCTCTTTCAGGGTATGTTCTGGTTTCCTGAACAGGATTCATCACTATCTTCGCTTTCAGGTTCCGCAATCTCATCAGTATTGTTTACATCTGGTACTTCATCGGGTGCTGCTGAAGGTTCTTCTTCCTCAACTTCTAATGGGATCCATATGTTCGACGACAGATTTTCCTTATATGTTTCATCTTGTTGATTGTTAACCTCTTAGGCACTATGCGCCACTATAGTGGCTTTCGCGGATGTCAACTCTCTGTACGACGCGCCACTATAGTGGCTTTTGCGCATGTCATCTTTCTGTACGACGCGCCACTATAGTGGCTTTGTGTACTCGTGTAGAGAGAACAGCATTACCTACACATTACAGTGCTGTATCATTTACACGTAATTCGCGTTGAACTCTGCCGTACAGAGAGACAGCCCTGCGCAAATATCAGCCGTGCCTCAGAGGTTAAATTCATTTTCTATAAAAATCACATCTCTGGCTTTTATTACGTTTCTCGGATTTTTGGGATCTGCCAATTTGTACCCTTTCGTATCCGTACAATATCCCACGAATATATATTCTTTGCTTTTTTCGTCTAATTTTTGCCTTTGCATTTTTTGTACATGTACAAAAGCTCTGCAGCCGAATATCTTCAAGTGATCCAAATTCGGCTTACTTCCCGTCTAGGCTTCTATGGGCGTTTTACCTCTTACTGCCTTAGTAGGTCAACGATTTTTCAAGTAGATTGCCGTACTTACAGCATATTCCCAGAATGTTTTATTTAATTGACTGTCTTGTAGCATGCAACGTGCCTTCTCAATGATTGTCCTATTTGCACGCTCTACTACACCATTTTGTTCTGGGTTATACGGCACAGTCGTTTGGTGCCTTATACCATTATCCTTTAGAAACTTGTCCATTTCATTACTGACAAATTCGGTTCCATTGTCTGATCTTAATATTTTAATTTTGTGGTCCGTTTGATTTTCGACTAATGCTTTGAAGTGAGGAAAAATAGTTTTAACTTCCGATTTGTGTTTCAAGAAATATCCGAAAGACATACGAGTATAATCGTCTATCAACAAAAAAAGGTATAGGGCACCATTGCAGCTTGGTTTGCTCATTGGCCCACACAAATCCGCGTGTACTATTTCTAGTGGAACTTTCGTTCTATAACTTGGCCCCTTAGCAAACGGTAGTTTAGTTTGTTTGCCTTTTATGCAACTTATGCATGGTTTTCTAGCAGCGTCGGTGTACTGTACTCCCAATGCCATGCCTTTATGTAAGAGGGACATGGATCTGTGGTTCAGATGACCCAATCTTTTATGCCAGAGTTCTTGAAGGTCCGCTTGGGTCATTAATATTTGAGCCTTCATTGGTACTGTATCTAATTTATATATTCCTCCAACGTTTGTACCAGTTACTATTTGCTGGCCGTGTGCTTTGTAGTCGTTGGAAAAATACATCTTACAAGTTTTATCATCAACGACCACTACAAATCCTTTTGATGTCAATGCATTTACAAATAGTAAATTTGCAGATAAATTTGGCACGTAACTTACGTCCAAAATAATTTTGGTTTCTGTCTGACCTAGTATGTTTACTTTTATATTACCTGCCCCTGACGTATCTAATTTATTATTGTCTACAATAGTAATTTTCTTTTGTAATGTTTCTTTATAATCTTCAAGCCAATCTTTGTTGTCAGTCATACCCGCACCCGAGTCAATATACCAATTATCGCTATTTATTTTCGTAGTTGAAGCACACAGTAAATTCCATTGCTTATCATTATCGCGCTTCGTCTGCTTCACTTCTTTATTTTCTTTAAAGTAACTTTATTTGTAGACACGGGTCGATTCTTTTGGCAATAAGGTTTTTTGTGACCTGGCTCGCCACAGCCATAGCATCGTATTTTTTGATATTTTTTATTAAAATATTTCCTTTCAGTTTTAGCAGCGAAAGCTCCCTCTGACGGCCTATTTCCCGTCTGTCTTTTGATAGTTTCTTGTAGTAGTTTATTTTTCACCAAATCTGTTGTGATCTCGGCTCCCGAATTTTCCAATGCCATTACCATTGACTTATATTCAGATGGTCCTGCCAGTATTATGACACCAACTAGTTTATCATCCATTGGGCTATCAATGTCTCTCAATTTCTGAGCAAGGGTTAAAGCATCAGATACATATTTATCCATGCTAGTAAAATTACTGTATTCTATTCTTACAAGTGCCCTCATTAAGCCCAACATCCTGGACAATCCTTTGTCTTCATATGTCTTGGATAAATTTGGCCAAGCTACTTTCACATTAACGTTTTGCAAATGTACGTGACAATGTGGTTTCACATTTAAACAAATTGTGGCGAGAGCCCTTGAGTTTCTTTTGACATCGCCTGTATTTTCATTTGGTGAATTTACGCAATCCCACAGGTCCATGCCGATTAGCGTCATTTTCATTGTGAACTTCCAAGACGAATAATTCGACATTCCGTCCAATTTAGGTTCAATAATTGGAATGTTTCCTATAGAACTAGTGGCAGAAACATTAGACGCAGATCGACTTCCAGACGCAGTTTCAGATGTAGCTATTTTTATTTCAATATTTTATATGTTCTTTAGTAGAAATATCAAAAACAAAAAATGTAAAGAAAAGAAAATCTTATACTTGGCTCGTTAAAAGCCAGTATATATTAATGCAAATTCTCATCCACTTTCCGGCCATGTGCTTCGGCCATATATTTCAACCACGTGGGTGATAGGTTAGAATGAATTATAATATGTACTGTACGCGTCTGCTAAGTTGAGACTTCTAAGGAATTGGGTCTGATTGGTCGGAGCTAGATGGGCCAGACTTAGACACGCACACTTATACAGTTGACCCACATGCATTCTCGCTATTCGCTCTCTAGGTCACAACTACTAGTAGAAACTACTACTACTACTACTACTAGACGAGGGTTCGAGGTAAGGATTAGGCGGAGCGTTTCACACCTCGAATCTCAACTTAGTAGACGCTTACAATACATTTAGATCTATTGTTTGACTTATCTTATTTTCTGGGCCCATAACCTGTTAAGATTTATGGGATTATAAGCGTGAATAAGTGCAACACAACCTTCATTTATCATATACCATTAACACAGGAATATATATTTTAAACGTAAAAAAGAAAATGATACTTTGCATATGTGCGCACGAAAGAATAACGGAATAGATATACCATAAAACAATAGAGAATAGAAGCTTATATATCATAGTACGAGGAAGCCCTCCAGAGAGGGCATCCAATGCGTTAAGCGCGGTTACTTAAATTATAAAGAGTCTACCACCTACCACCCCTTCAGAGGGTGAAAATGCGTTACGGGACACCCTGTATATGAATTTTTGAATTGCATTCCGAGCAACTACCTTTAATCGACAATAATATCTCGCCAGGATTTCGATTTATTTTGGCATTTTCAAACGCGAAGGGAGAGGGCAATTTAAGATAACTCAATAAAATGTCGTATACCGCGTCCGACCAACCAATAACGAGTACGTCGTATTCGCGATCATTGTATTTTGCGATATTTAATTTCAGACTGTCCCATTCGCTTTTCGACAATGTTATTGATTTGCGCAGAGCTGGTAATACGCAATTTGTTTCACTCATCGACCAATTTGGATCGTCTTTCAAATTGTCTCATGCGGTGGTATCGAAACTTTCGTCTTTGTCATATTCCAATGTTTCGCTTTTATGTATTCAAAAATTGATCAAAAACATTATTTCTATTTTTTGACAAATAAAGGTAGATATAATCCTTTGTCATTGTACCTTTCAATGCATGAACCGCTTTTCTCTAAACGTCGTTATCCCATGCCAAAAGTTTACCTTCATCATCAATAAACCAAATGCTCTTTTAGAGCATTATAAATTTCATTCGGCGATTTCGTCGGCAATCTAGGCATTTTTATATTCTTTTTGAAACTGATTGAAATGAGACCCGTTTCTTTGTATTCGCTGAAAGCAGAATTTTTCTATTCGCTCAAAGCACAGCATTTTTGTATTCGCTCAAAGCTGAATTTGTCTATTCGTTCAAAGCAGAATTACTTTTTCTTATTTGTAATTATAGAAAAAAAAAAAATAAATAAAATTGGAATTTTGAAATTACTTGTACGTATTATGCACTCTTCAACGGAATATAGTGACATTCAATTGAAGAGAGCGTCGCAAAGTATGAATTCCAACTGATTGTTCGCTGTTCGCTGTTCGTAACTTGGCCGTCGAAAAAAATGTGCGTCTCATTGGTCGTGCCCCGCCTTTCCTCACACGGCTTGCAGCCGCAACGTATTATTGGTCGAAGCAGTTACATCTACTGACTAGGCTCGTGTAAAGCCGCCGGGTATCCACCGGTATCAAACGCCCGTATCGTATCACCGTTCCGAACCCTTTTGAATAGGCAGGCGTTGCCTCGTTACATGCCACGGCGTGCACACCTCTGTTGTTAATTCTTACTGCTCTTGCTGTTCCTCTCGCTATTACCGTTGTCATCTGCATATGAATACGTTGTAATTATATATTTTATCTCGCATAAATACAGTATATATTCAATACAGAATGGACTAATTTTTAAATCATCTTACCTTACTCATCTTGAAGACTGCTGTTGCTGCTACTATCGCTATCACTATCACTATCACTGCTGCAACTGGTAGCATTCATTGCATCTGCTTCTTCCGATATCTGTTCCATTATGTTTTCCGTTTCTTCATCTCTTTGGATGTATTTCTTTTCAATCTTCTGCACATGATTGCAGAATCCTCGCCAATCTTCTTCTGTTATTTCGTCAACAGCTTTTGTTGTTAAATTTAATAATTTAATACCGGATAAAGTTGAGTTATTATTTTCTCGAATAATCCTTTTTATTTTCGCCCATGCTAACTCAATTGGATTTAATTCGCACATGTACGGCGGCAATCTAAGCACATTGTGCCCATGTGTTTTAAATATTTCATCCACCTTATATGATTTATCCAAACTTTTATTTTTCTGCACTAATTCTGCTAGCTCATATTTCTTCATCTTGTCTGTATATTTTATATTATTGTCTTGCAACCACTTTATCATTTCGGTTTTTTTACCGTATTTAAATGGCGGTTTATTAATCCCACTTCTTCATCATTCTGCCAGCATTTACTGAATGACAATGTGTTGTCCACCCACGTTTCATCTAAATATATTATATTTCTTCCTTGGTTTCTATACGAATCTATGGCGGTTAAATACTTATCGCGCCAGGCAACAATATTTGGTTTTTCCACCAAGATTTATCTGATGTTAGTGGATTTTTTCCACCTATATCCCATTTTGTGCAGTAGTCGCTGTAATGTTCGAAGTTTTCATGGGAAATCAAGCTGTTCCTGTATAGCGGTCAGCAGCTTCGGGCATGTCGGAATTATCTTCCTTGTATAAAAATCGTGGATAATATTTCGAATTATCAGTTTTTCATCGTCGGTGCAATGAAACGTCCCCACAGTGCGAAGCCTTTTGTTCTCTGGTCCCATTGTTGGTGATGAGGATGATAAGGTTTCACCTTTAATTCGATACAAAGTTGCACGTGATACACCCGTCTAATGACATACCCTTTTTGCAGATTGTTTAATGCGACAACTCAATTTGTAATTGCGAGCCTCTTTGTCGCACTTCTCGGTGATTCTCTTAATTACTCTCCGGGCCTCGCTTCGCACTGTTTGTCCTTTCTTACGACTTTCCATAATGATTCTATTTATAACTATATAATAAAAAAACACACAAAATACTATATAAAAATAGAAAATAAATGAAAATTATACACTAAAAAACACAAAAAATACTATATAAAAATAGAAAATAGACGGTAAAATAAAAACTAACACTAAATACTATAAATATTCGAAAAAAATAGAAAAAACCAAAAAAAGAAATTAAATATCTAGAAACACTTTGAAAAATCGTACGATGTGGACACTAGGAATGCTCTGGGAAAACTGCTTGGAAAGAAATTTGTTCTTTCCAATACAGGACAATTGACTTCATAGTACCAAATCTTCCTTTACCTGCACATTATTACTCCCTCAATAAAACTCCTTCGTAACTATCAGATGTTCGAATCTGGCAATCACGTGTTCGTTACTACCTTAGATCAGTAAACATACCTGAAAATTGTTGGGGTACGCAGGAAAATACATTACAAGTCACAATAATTTCAAACATTTATATTTTTAAATCGCATAATTATATGTCAAAACCTATATAACAACACAATGATTTCATTTCTTCGGGGATATATCATGTTATATTATAAAGAAGTATGGATATTTTTCGGGGCAATGCATAAATTTTATTACAACCGCCTAACAAGTGTCAAAATGCTACGACTATGTCAAGTTACGTCAAGCTGTGCCACGTGCGGGGGCTAGACGAGGGTTCGAGGTGGGGCGTAGGCGGAGCGTTTCACACCTCAAGTCTCAACTTAGTGGACGCATACAGTACCTGAAACGGGGGTACACCGCGTCCTCTTCCAGCTCATTGTGACGCCAATTTTCAATTCAAATATAATAAAATAATTTTTAACAAAAAATATAACCAACTTCGAAATGCACTAAAAAGTATGAAATAATTTCGATTTCATTTACACAAATACCCAACAGCTATTAATAAAACCTATTTACTCGTTAAATAGTATACTAAATACATTTCAACTTTTTCGGAGGCGGCGCAAAATTAAAAACTTTTCTTTTACTAGGAAAATCCTAGTTCAGGCGTCGCAACTTATCAAATCATTATTGGCAGCATCGTATATTTGGGTATTTTTAATTTTGCGCCACTATTTAACGAGTAAATAGGTTTTATTAATAGCTGTTGGGTATTTGTATAAATGAAATAGAAATTATTTCATACTTTTTAGTGGAACGAGTAGTATTTGTAAGATGCCGTAAGGTGGTTTACCGCTCTTATTGGTTAATTGCAATAACGATAGTTTTTAACGATAACAAGTTCCATATATTTTTGCAAGTGGGATCATCGCAGAAATATGTATCTCTTATTAAATGCAAAAGGTTTCATCGGTACATTCCGTGCAAAGTAACACCAAGGAATAGGGTTTTTGTTATAACAATAGTTATTAACAATAACAAATTGCATAAATTTTTGCAAGTGAGATATTGCGGAAATATCTCCTATTAGATGTGAAAGGTTTCATCGCAATCGGTACATGTCTTGCAGAGTACAGTAAAACCTGGATAAATGCAACCAAGATTGGGACCCAGTGGTTGCATTTATCCAAACGAGGTGTCGAATCTCGGGTTACACGCGACGACCAGCCAAGCGTGAACGTAGAAAGGGACAGACAGTGGCGGAAGGAGAGAGGTCCGATGATGAAAGGAAAGAGCCGAAACGTATCGGTGTGACTAATACTAATTCAACTATAAAACTTTTTTATTTTTGACTTTTTTTTAATGAAACTTTTACCAGCGGATTGGTGACATTTTTCTTATTAAAATAATACCAAACACGATATAGTTTGAATTATAATTACTTGCTAAAATTGATGTTAAAGGTTGGCGAAAAGCATCAGAGGTCGAAATCAAAACCAGTCGCGGTGTTGGCTCTGGTTTCAAAGGTTTCATTTATCCAGGCAAGGTGGCGATTCTGGGCATTTAATGTTGCATTTATCGAAGCGAGGTGTCGATTCTGGGCATTTAATGTTGCATTTATCCAAGCGAGGTGTCGATTCTGCGTCCGTAAACATGTTTTGTATTCAGCCGACATGCCGATTCTGTATCCGTACACATCTTTTGTATTCAGCCGACATCATTTATATTCAGTCGTGGTGTCAATTCTATGTTATTTATTCTATTACTATTGTTTATAAATATAATTCAAAGTATATCATGTTTGGTGTCATTTCAATCAGAAAAATCTCACAAATGCGTTAGTAAAAGTTTCATTAAGAAAAAGTTAAAAATAAAAAAGGTTTATCGTTCAATTAGTATTAGTCACACCGATATTACGGTCGGATCATACTACACGGTTTTCTCGTCGAGCGGCTCGGTTCGTCTAGGGGGATCCCCCCAAGTGGAGGGGATAGCGATGTTGCACTTATCCAAGCATTCTTTTTTTGCATTTATCCAGGTTTTACTGTATATGTAAGTGCATGTATAGAAACAGTAGAGAATCGGCGACTGCATGCTGACTCATACACCGGTAGAGACACGTAGGCATACGTAGAATTCAATGTAGTAGTAACAATAGTTTTTCACGAATATCTCGGAAACTAAAGCTTTTCGTTAATTATGTATAGTTTACGGCTTTGTTTTCTAGTTATTAACGTTTAAAAATTCGAGTAAAAAGCGCCAGAAACCTGCAATCCGCTTAGCACCGACGACCGAACGTCAGGTCAGCAGGGGTCGGTACAGTCATAACCAAAAATCGAAGCCGAATACTGTAGTATTGAGGAACAGAATAGCACGAGGTAAGTTTCTACTATTCAACGATTCTTGGTTATGACTGTACCGACCCCTGCTGACCTGACGTTCGGTCGTCGGTGCTGAGCGGATTGCAGGTTTTTGGCGCTTTTTACTCGAATTTTTAAACGTTAATAACTGGAAAACAAAGCCGTAAATGCTTTTTCGTTATTCTTGATTTTCGTCTTATTTTGATCCATAGAATCACCCCTTCAAATATTGCCCACCTGTTGTCGAACACCCTGTATATATATACTGATTGATTCGGTACCTGAACGTGAAAACAGGACGATCTAAAATGAAGAGACTCTTACAACCCCCGAAAGGGCTTCTTAGATCGCCTGTTTTGCCTCGATGAAACGTATTTCAATGCCGTGCTCGACAAATTAGTAATGAACAGGCTTACCGTGAACTTGTAGAATATAATATATGATTAAAGCGTTTTGATAGTGGTCGAAATTCGCTGTCTAAAGATCTGGAACACCAAAAGAGATGATAGAATCGTTGCAGCACTCGCACTTGTCCGCGCGCGTTTGTCCGAAGATATTGCGATTAACTATTAAATAAGACGTTTACAAGGACGATTACGCTTTGAGAAATTGAATAATTATACGCGATGAGTTTAATACGAAAAATATACGCGATCAAACGGTTTAAAATACAAAAGAGATAGAAGTTTAAGAGTATGAAAATTTAACGTGCGCGTCACTGAGTCTTTGCCGCGTATTTGGAATTTCACCCTCGCGACACTCTGCCTACGGTTAGGACTTGCCGCGCAGCTAAACTCAAAGTACTACGACAACGCTTTCTCTTCACGCACGGGCTCCCGTCACGTACTTACACGATTGCTCCACGAAGAGTGATCAAAATCGATCGCGATCCTGGCCGGAAGGGCCCGTCGCGAGGACGATGTCCTGCGTGGGGACATCTCGACAAATCATAGCGCGTGACGGCAACGTCATGTACGTCGCTATTGGTTGAGGGCGCGTGCTAGGCGAATTCCTCTGGATCATACTTTCTCTCTCTCCTGGTGTTCTGTCTTTGTCTAACGGCTTTTAGGCGATTCTACGCCGTACTATTTCCAGAATATTCTATCTTCATCGGTAATTTCAATATTAGATATAAAATGATATAATTACCAATCTAATAATTTCAATTTGAAAATGAATTAATAATGAACTATTATGCGTGATTAATGAAGTAGCAATCATGGAATTTCCTAATTATTCTGTTCGCAAAGAAACCGAACAGCAGTACGAATTGCGCTGGTAACGCAAGTTGTGAAAATTACAATAGCATTCGGTGATTTACTGGTAATTCCAGCGGTCTTCAATTATTAGATATTCCTTTCGAATATTCGTTATTATGCTTGTAGCGAAATTCGTTTGAGAACGTTCTTTCTATTTGAAATCTACCGTTGGGTCTTAGTTTCAGGCAAATTCTCGGAATTCGATACAAAGACCTTTATTGCCCCGTTCGACCCTTCGCCTCTAAACAGTCCTCGAACGCTTGCTAAACGGTCACTTGTGAGGGTTCTTATTCCTCGCTCTTTACATTCAATCAAATATTCAAATTTCT